GGAACAAGCTCACAATTAATATCACTTAACTTCCCTCTTCTTTCAACAACACCCATCTGGTCCGCAAGATGTTCTAGCTCTTGTGATTATTAGCGACAAAACTGTGTGTGTTGAATCAACTCATGCCTTTTAGCCTGTAACAAACTCCTGTGAGCAGGGACAGTTCTCTGGTGCACAATCTGTCCGTGAATCACTAGATACAGCTATGGCACTGCATGCCTAAATAATAGGGATACGTGCCAGAGAACTGGACAAATGCACGAGATCTAAAAAGCTAATTTCTGTAGGGCAGAAATGAGTAAGCTGCTCTTTAAAGAGCAAATAAGAGGCTTCAGTTCTCCAATCTGTAGAACAGCAAATTGTGAATTCATATATCCTTTTCATTTCAAATCGACTCTATAACTAGCACATTTCATGAGCTCAGGAATGGCTGCATGCTCCAATGCTGAATACTTTTTTTAATGGCCTGCAATAGGCAATGTTGAATTAGATGATAACGTTGCTTTGCAATCTGTACGGTGTATAAATGTGTTCTGATGGAGAAATTAACCTGAATAAATGTTTCTAGTTCTTTCCACCAAGAAAAGAGGCTGTTGCAAATGAACTAATTGTGAGGCTGGAGTTAGAATGGACTGAGCATGAGCTTTTTCTTTCTGGCAGTTAAGTATCAAAGTATTATCTGGGGAGAAGGTGTTTAATCAATGATGTAGTCATCAGTTTTATCTGCTTGGAACATGCGACGAGATCTTTTTGTAGGCTTTACCATCCAATGAAAAGCTGCATGTATCATGCCTAAGACTCGAGGACAGAATCTATCTCGAGTGTCATGTGTCTTTTTACCTTAATGCTTCTCTTGTTCAGCCCATACGTTCCAATGTGCGGCTGCAGATTTCTGGCATGGTCCAGGAGTTACAACAGAAGATTCTCATCAAGTCTTTACTTTTCCCCCCCACTGATATTGCTGACTGACTTAATCGAGTCCCTTCTTGGGACTGAAATGTTATCCTCAGTAAAATGGAGTGGCTATTTGCCCACTTTTTTGTAAAGCTTTTTCAAATGAAGATGCTGTAGAAGCGCAAAAGATCGTTGTGGTCTTTGAGCGTGTGTAGATGAAACGAGGGGCATGTGTGCACGACACTTTAAAGAGGGTTAAATGCTTCTGTGCTGCTTTAATGGTGTTGGTGTTTGCATGCGTCGGTGGTATATTGCACATATTAATTCCAGCCGCTGTAGCACATTTGGCAGTGCAACGCGCCTTAAATGACTTTGGGGCACAGCAAACTAAAACACCTCCGAGGAATCTGTTTGCTGCCCTACAGCCGTGGAGCGAAGCACCGGGTTCTGTGCAGGTCAGAGGCTGTGCAGACAGCCCACGCAGGCAGCCTGGCAGCAGCCTGGGAAGGCAGGCTCCACCAAAGAGAAAAGGGGGGAAAAAAAGCAGCAAGCCTGATCTTCTTTTTTTTTTTCTTTTTTTTTTCCCCCCCCCCTGGAGCCTGCCTGCCTGAGTTCGCTGGGACCCAGTCCTTTCCTCCTGTGGCTGCAGTGCCCCCCAGGATTGCCCAAGCCAGGTGCTTGCAGGTGGGTGCTGCCTGGCAGGGCAGGCAACTGATGCTGTGGAGAGAAGCACCCCCCCCAGCATCCCAGGGACCACTGTGCCCTCCAGCAGCTTGCCCTCCCCTCCGTGCCACTGGAGAGGCAGGTAAGACACGGGTGTACATGACACGGTTACTTCGCCCTAAATTGAAGTGGTGTTTTTAAAAACCCACCGCTTCAGTTTAGGGCCCCCGTTTCATCTACACATGCCCTTTGTGTCGTCTTACCAAGGTGGTTTCCTTTCCCATTTTAAATCCTTGACTGTGACTTGGTGTGTGTGCTATTTCCTCTGCATGCCTCATCCCACACCTTCCTACGTTGTGTACGTTACAAAACTCTGGTGTGGATTAAGGCCTAACCAACAAGTTTGTAAACCAAATCAAAACACTACCAGTTTTCCAGCAAAGGGGCTCATGCTCCTCCTGCTTCCTTGTCCTGTTAGCAACCAGAATACCACTGGCAGGGTTTCCCTACCAAGTCTCTGGATCTGTGGGTGCACTCCAAGCCCAGATGGCAGATCTCTGAATCTAGGCTTTTTATTAGGCTTGATCACACGCCCTCTGCAACGTTTCCATGCTCCATAATTTATGTATTAAAAAGCCTGTGGTGCGTGTTTTGAGGATAGGACCTAGTTGTATTCTAAAATCCATTACCACATTCTAGTCCTCGCAGGTTCTGAATGCTGTTTGTGTAGTGTTGTTTAGCAATGGCTCTGCTTCTGACTGGTACTTGTAGCTTTATGAATATGCTCACACATGGTGAAAGAGCCACACATGCCTAGAACCCCATTGAATTAGCATGGCGAAGGCACAATAGCCTGTAGCTGGTGATGGTGATATAGCCAGCATTGCATCTTTGGCACCCCAGTCAAAATGACCATATACCCACTTCACAGCTAGGTCAATTGAGAAGCAGTCTTTGACAGAAGTTCACAGTAAAGCTTGAATATATGGATCTTGCAGGGGTTTAAGCCACTCTCTACCCCAGCCTTTCATGTGATCTCCCTTGGAGCTGTGAGTTCAAATTCTGTTGGTAAACTGCGGCCATAAACTCCTTGAAGTGTGTGAAAAAGTAGCATCCCCAGTTCAAAATAGGGATTGTGACTAGCATTGTTATCCTGTGTAAAAGTTACCAGTTCATCTAATGTGGAAAGTTGCACACAAGTGTTGGCTTATACAAGCGACTGGGCAGAATTTCATGCTGTACATGTTGTAGAGACCATAAAAACCACTGACTGAGGGGATGAGATGTTCTGTTCCTTTCTCCAGCTGATTAATATTCTTGTCCTACTGAGCACTTGGGTTCAATCACACTGCCAATTAGTCACTTAAATTGGCCTCAGCTCGTAGCATGTGGCATGCTACCAAGTACTGTTGACATAAGATTTATATGAGCAACTCCTTTTGGGATGAATGAAGTGTTACTACACGGGCTTTGTGGCATGTACATTGCAAAGCAGTTATACGTATCCACCTTACTGTTTTTATATCCAACACACAGGAACAGCACAAGCACTGGAAAGGCATGTGGGATAGAGTGGGTACATGACTAACATGATCCTAGGTCAAGACCTGGATTGTACTCCCAAAGGCCTTCGGTGCATAACTTTAGGCTAGTGACTTAATTGCATCAAATGGTAAGGCTGCTTTTCTATGTAATGTTCCTGTGAGGCTCCATCCTAAGCACCAAATGCTTTCAGATCCTAGGTCCTATTAAAGAAGTGTTATGGAATATAAACTATCTCCTGAAAAGTGAGGACATACCATAGTAAATGGTTGATAGCAAATGCCACTAATGTCATCAGGATTAAGCTGGGCAGGCTGCAGGCCAGTTTACCCCTCTCCTGACTCCCTAGCAACCTGTGTTGTGTCCCCTATCTAGGTTGGTGCCAAAGCTGGTTTCATTGCCATTTGTAGAGCGTAGGTGGGAAGATGGATGGGTTTTGAAATGACTAGACTTGTTAGGCATAAACAAAGCTAACAGGCAATCTGCTACATTGGAACAAAAAGCTGTGGGTCTCCTCTTTGCACCACCTCACTGTACTTCAACCTGCAGTTAAAAACCAGGGTTGTATCTACCACCTGTTACACTTCACCATATTTTATTGTGCTCACACCTGGAGATCAAAGAACCCCCTAACACAGCAGTTCCCAAACTCAGAGAGAGTGTGTACCACCAATTTAAAATGATACAACCTTAAGTACCACCAGCAATTTTTTGTCTCATAAAGTAATTATAATAAATGTGTTAACACATACCACTGACAGGTTGTCTGTGTACCACTGGTGGTACCCGCACCAGATTGGGAACCGCTGCCCTAGCATTTATAAAACCGACTATCAATTTGACTTGTGTGAAGCTGACTAATTGAAAAAGTTCTCTGGCTTCTGACAGGGCAATCTTTTAAAATAATGTTTCCTGCAACACTTAGCTATATTATATGGGTTTTCCAGGTCCCTTGTCTGCCCTTTTAAAAGGATCTATTC